GAAAGTATTTATCAGCTGTAGGAGTTCCCTGGTAGAGTTTTTTGGGTCACTCACGTATACTATCATATCATCTGCAAATAGTGATAATTTGACTTCTTCCTTTCCAATTTGTATACCCTTGATCTCCTTCAACTGTCTTATTGCTCTAGCAAGGACTTCCAGAACTATGTTGAAGAGATATGGAAAGAGCGGGCAGCCTTGTCTTGTCCCTGATTTCAGTGGGATTGCTTTAAGTTTCTCTCCGTTCAGTTTGATGTTGGCTATAGGCTTGCTGTATATCGCCTTTACTATGTTTAGATATGTGCCTTGTATCCCTGATCTCTCCAATACTCTAAACATGAATGGATGTTGGATTTTGTCAAATGCGTTTTCAGCATCTAGGGAGATTATCATGAGGTTTTTTTCTTTCAGTTTGTTAATATGGTGGATCACATTGGTGGATTTCCGTATATTGAACCACCCCTGCATACCTGGGATGAGGCCTACTTGGTCATGGTGGATGATATCTTTGATGTGTTCTTTTATTCGGTTTGCAAATATTTTGTTGAGTATTTTTGCATCAATGTTCATAAGGGAGATTGGCCTGAAGTTCTCTTTTTTTGTTGGGTCTTTGTGAGGTTTAGGTACCAAGGTGACTGTGGCTTCATAGAATGAGTTTGGTAATGTTCCTTCTGTTTCTATTTTGTGGAATAGTGTGAAGAGACCTGGAGTTAGCTCTTTTTTGAATGTCTGGTAGAATTCTGCACTGAAACCACCAGGTCCTGGGCTTTTTTTGGATGGGAGACTTTCAATGACTGCTTTTATTTCCTTGGGGGATATAGGACTATTTAATTGATTTACCTGGTCCTGATTTAGCTTTGGTAAGTGGAATTGATCAATAAAATTCTCCATTTCTTTTAGATTTTCAAATTTTGTGGCATATAGACTTTTGAAGTAAGTCCTAATGATTGTTTGAATTTCCTCAGTGTCTGTAGTTATGTCCCCCTTTTCATTTCTGATTTTGTTGATTTGGATGGTGTCTCTCTGCCTTTTAGTTAGCTTGGCTAAGGGTTTGTCTATCTTGTTGATTTTCTCAAAGAACCAGCTCTTGGTTTCATTGATTCTTTGAATTGTTTTATTTGTTTCTAGTTGATTGATTTCAGCCCTGAGTTTGATTATTTCCAGCCATCTACTCCTTTTTGGTGTGTCTGCTTCTTCTTTTTCTAGGGATTTTAAGTGGGCCATTAAGTTGCTTGAATGAGCTGTCTCGAATTTCTTCTTGAAGGCACATAGTGCTATGAACTTTCCTCTTAGCACTGCTTTCATTGTGTCCCACAAATTTGGGTATGTTGTGTCTTCATTTTCATTGAGTTCTAGAAAGACTTTAATTTCTTTCTTTATTTCTTCCCTAACCCAGCTGTCATTCAGTAGCAAGTTGTTCAGTTTCCATGATTTGTAGGCTTTTTGCTATTTCTGTTGTTATTGAGGTCCAGTTTTATTCCATGGTGATCAGACAGGATACAAGGGATTATTTCAATCTTCTTGTATCTGTTAAGGCTTGCTTTGTGACCATCTATGTGGTCTATTTTGGAGAAGGTTGCATGAGGTGCTGAGAAGAAGGTAAATTCTTTTGTGTTTGGTTGTAAGGTTCTGTAGATGTCTCTGAGGTCCATTTGATTCATTACCTCTGTTAGAGATTTTGTTTCTTTGTTTAATTTCTGTTTAGTTGACCTGTCCTTTGTTGAGAGTGGGGTGTTGAAGTCTCCCGCTATTAGTGTGTGGGGATCTATGTGTGGTTTAAGTTTTATCAATGTTTCTTTCACAAATGTGGCTGCCCTTGTATTTGAACCACCAAATACAAGGTCAGGATTGTGATTTCTTCTTGGTGAAATCTTCCCTTGATGAGTATGAAGTGTCCTTCCCCATCTCTTTTGATTAATTTTGGTTGAAAGTCTATTTTATCAGTTATTAGAATGGCTACTCCTGCTTGCTTCTTGCATCCATTTGCTTGGAAAGCCATCTTCCAACCCTTTACCCTCAGGTAATGTCTATCTTTGTGACTTAGGTGTGTTTCTTGTATACAACAGATTGCTGGGTTTTGTTTATGCATCCATTCTGTTAGTCTGTGTTTTTTTTATTGGAGAATTAAGTCCATTGATGTTGAGATAGATTGATGACCAGTGGCTTTTAAATCCTTTGAATTTGATGTTGGCTGTGGTCATACGGTTGTGTGCCTGGTTGCTTTTTGTTTTACTAAAGTTAGGTTATTTATTTCCTGTGTTTTCTTGAATGTAGCTAGTTTTCTTAGGTTGTATTTTCCCTTCTAGTGTCTTCTGTAATGCTGGATTTGTTTGTAGGTATTGTTGAAATTTGTTTTTGTCATTGAATATCTTGTTTTCTCCATCTATAAGGACTAAGAGTTTTGCTGGGTATAGTAGCTTGGGCTGACATCTGTGTTCTCTTAGGGTCTGCATTATATCCGTCCAGGCCCTTCTGGCTTTAATAGTCTCTGTTGAGAAGTCAGCTGTGATTCTAATGGGTTTGCCATTATATGTTACTTGGCCTTTTTCCCTTGCAGCTTTTAGTATTTTTTCTTTGTTCTGTACACTTACAGTTTTGATTATTATGTGGCGGGAGGATTTTCTTTTCTGGTCTTATTTATTGAGTGTTCTGTATGTCTCTTGTATTCTTATTGGCCTCTCCTTTAAGTTGGGGAAATTTTCTTCAATGATTTTGTTGAAAATATTTTCTGTTCCTTGGTGCAGGGAATCTTCTTTTTCCTCTAGTCCTATTATTCTTAGGTTTTGTCTTTTTATGTTGTCTTGAATTTCTTGGATGGTCTGTGTCAGGAATTTTTTATATTTAACATTTTCTTTGACAGATACATCTATTTGTTCCATTGTATCTTCCACACCTGAGATTCTTTCTTTCATTTCTTGTAGCCTATTAGTTATGCTAACCTCTGTAGTTCCTGCTTTCTTCCCTAAGTTCTTTCTCTCCACAATTTCTTCCATGTTTTTTTTTTTTTAATTTTTCCAATTCTATCTTCAGGTCTCGAGCCATTTTGTTGGTTTCCTTCTCCTGTCTGACTGTATTTTCATGTTTTTCCATCAATTCCTTCAGTTGTTTGTTTGAACAATCCTCTGTTTGTTTTATTTCATTCAGTAATTTAAGCATTTCCTCTCTAAAGGCCACAAACTGTTTGGCTGCAGCTTCCTCTATTTCTTTTCGTATTTTATTTGTTTCCTCTGTTTTCTTCTTCATGAGCATAGATGTTAGGTCATCTTCTTGAATTTTAGTTATGCTGGTGTCTAGGGGTGTCTAGGGCTACTTGCCCCTAGATAACTGGGTTCTAGAGATGCCATATTGCTCTGGCTTTTGTTGGTTGAACTTTTACGCTGTCTTCTACCCGTTGGGCCATCTTAGGTGTTTGACATTAGTTTCTGGTTGTTCCTGGACTCCTGTGGTGGAGAGAATCCCTTTGACAGGAAGATGGTTTTTCCTGAAGGAAGCCTTCTCAGCTTTTTGGGAATAGTCACTGGATGGCAGGTGTTTTTCAGGAGTTGCTACAGCTCACCTCGGACATAGAGACATGGGTGGTAACTGTGGTCCTGATTAGTGGAGAGGGCTCTCCTCTCACAGGGAGAAGTCCTGGAGACAGCTGCCCTCCTTCTGGGTTTCTTGCTGTAAATTTAGTGAGCTGCTGCTGTAACCTGGGTGTCCTGTGGTTTGGTCAGTTTTGTTTGGGATAACTGGTTGCCCCTTGGAGCATTATCTGGGGGGTTGATATCGGGGATCCCTGGCTTTTGTAAGTCTTAGGTTGGAGCTCTGTGCCCCAATACCCAAGCTACAATCAATCCATACTTTTTTACATATTCAAATGCCTGTGACTCTGAGGTTGTAATTTAAACAATGGCCAAACGTGGAAAATGGCATTTAAAGTGGAAAATGCCACTCAGCTGGGGCTGCCACCACGTGGTAGTGCCCTGTGGTCTGTCCCAGTGAAAATTCAGTCAGTCTTAAGTCTCATCTCATGAAGCCCGGAAGAGATGAGGGAGGTGAAGTAAAGCCTCTTCTTGGAAAATGGTTAGGTTGAACAATGAAGAGCTCATTGAAGCCCTGGTATGGGATGCTCAGATTGAATCCAGCACAGCGGAGGACTCTTAACTCCTAGGCCTGGCACTGAGGCAGGGAAACAGAAGAGTTTTGCTTCCTAGGGGCAATTTTTTAAACTTCATTTCACTAATCTTGGACCATAGCAAGTTTCTAGCATCTTGTCATGTTTGTCATGTTTGCCTATTGTTCAAGGAAAGAATAAAGAAAACTAGTGATTTGGACCTCAGTTATTATTATAAATAATTATGCTTTGATGAGTACAGCCTTGAATTCCTTTTATATATTAGTTTTTATCACACTCTTTATAATTTTAAGTAGAAGTTTTGCTTTTTTTAGGGGGGTCTTGCTTGTCTTGAAAAACATCTTTCCCATTTTCTAAATTACAGCTTTAATTTAGAGCTACTTGGTTACAAAAAAAAGTGTGGATCAGTTGTTGTATAGTTTAAATGCCAATGATTCTCTTTAACATGCACCAGCTTTATAGTGTTGCTCTTAAATGCATAGATGTGAGCCAGATTAATTTGTATAAAACCTTTATAGAAGCAAAGTTATTTAAATAACAAGTTAAAGGCCTTCATAATGAAGAACATGTACAGAACAGACTGATAGAAAGCGTCTTTACGAGATCATAAAATTAGTGCATTTAATTGTATTCACACATTAGAAGGACAAGCAGCAAATCCATGGGCTACTTGTTCGTGTCTAAGTGTTGGCAGTGAAGGCTGGAGGGCCTACCTCAGGGACGCTTCCTGGACTGCGGTGCTCTGCATGCCCGGCTGAGCCTGTACTGCCTTCAGTGAGCCCCGTGAAAAGCTCACTGTTTTCTTGAGAGCCCTGTGAAAAGCCGGGTGAACCTATACTATTGCTTTGCATTTCTCTGACGTGGAGGCTTCCTTTATTTGTAGGTGAGCGTCCCTATCAATGCCCTTACTGTGAAAAAGGATTCAGTAAAAATGACGGACTGAAGATGCACATTCGTACGCACACCAGGGTAAGACTACATTATGTCTCCTTTCCAGATCATAACAAAGCCATACCTGTTCTAAAAGAAGCATGTTTAATATCCACATGAGAAAAGAAAAGTGCTGTAGCTGAAATTATCTCAATATCTAGGATGGACATTTGAAGATGAACTTTCTTAGGAAAAGTCAATGAAAAACAACCTAAATCCCCAAAGTCTCCATACTGTAGACTTTGAATCAATTTACAGGATTTATTAATGACAAATTGCAAAGTAAATGTTAATGTTTCAATCCTAGAAATAAAGTTTTTGTCTTACAGAATAATCACTTGTAAGAAATGTGCTTGATAGCGGCAAGTTTGTCAGTATTTGGCCCTGGGTGTTGTTTACAAGCAAGGCCACTGACAGGAAATAATAATGACAGTGCAAATAATTTAATTTTAGGGAGGTTTGCAAAGCATGGAAGTTTAGATGAATGCATTACGGGGTCGTCAGCTATGTGTTGTTTTCTTTCTGAGGTGTTACTGTGTCTCACTCGTTGTTCTGTTATGTGCGCCTTTCCAGAGGCAAGCTTCTAGCTCATATGCTTTAAAACTGGTATGTGCCACCTGTTCTGTGTACAGATGTGTTACTCTGTTTGCTGTCCAGCTCAGGCACAGGGCCTATATTCCTGGTACTGTGTCGATGGTGGCAGGAGAATAAGGATTTCAGGGCCATTCTTAGCTACATAGGGACCTGGAGGGGACCTTATACTAGAGATCTCATCTAACAGAGAGAGAGAGAGAGAGAGAATATAAACTACAGTGTAAGCTATAGAAGATTAAAGAGGCATTGTCATTCATTGTAGTATAATTTAAATACATAATATTCAAGATACTTATTTTCACAACGAGCATTAATAAAGAGGCTTAAGTCAATTCTAAACCAGTTTCAGAATTATTTTGGGACTGGTGAGTCGGCTCAGCAGGTATAGGGACATACTGAGGAGACTGATGACTTTGGTTGGAATCCTAGGACCCACATGTTGAAAAGTGATCATTTGTAAAAGCAGAAAGCTAGCAACCACTTTTTGAAGGACATCGCCTACAAAGTGAATTACTTTCAGTGAATGGATGTGCTGGTTTGTTTTTGTCAACTTGACACAAACTGAGACTTACTTGGGAAGGGTTTCAGTTGCAAAATTGCCTCCATCAGATTGGCCCATTGCAATGTCTATGGAGTATTTCTTTGTGGTTTATTAACTAGGAGGACTAGTCCCACTGTGGGCTTTCATCCCAAGGCAGGTGCACCTGGTGTGTGTGTGAAAGGCACCTGAGCAAACCAGACAGAGCCAGTTCCAGTTTCTCTGGTTTCCCTTGATGGACTGAAAATATAAAATGAAATAAAGCCCCTCCCAACAGAAAAGAGTGAATTGACTCCACCAAGCTGTTCTCTGACTTCAGCATGTGTGCTACAAGACTCTTGCGTACACACACGCACACACACACACACACACACACACACTCACACACTTAATAAAAAAGTTATTGTATGTATTACTAGCCATAAAATGACAATAATGTATTTATATTAATGATGCCAATATCTAGGCCAAAATCATCCTGGGTCTCTACATTAGAAACTAGTGATGTTGGCCACAGTGCACATTACATTGTTTCAGTGGTTATTGGAGACAGAATGGTTACACATAGAAGAAGCTTTGTAAATTGCTGCAGGGGAAAAACAAAACCTGTTGTTTTGGTTCTTCTCAAGAAAATATTAATTTCTAATTCATTGAACTTGATTTTTCACTTTAATGTAGGCTATTACTAAAAATACTATTACTAAAAATACTATTAGTGGTTAAGTACAAATCAATACAAGATGAACCAACCATGCCAAGTCACTCATTGCAGTGATGATTTCAAGCCTTCAGATTCATTAATTTGTAACTCATTTAAGCCTCATAGAAGCTGAGATAGACATGATCCTTTTTGGAGAAGAATCCAAGTCACAGACAAGCATCAGTGCAAGGCTGCCTGAAGAAGCGTCTCCCTTATCTGCTGTGTGCCTGCCTCTCTGTCCATCACTGTGACATAGTGCTTGAGATAAATAATTTAAGAGGGGTAAGACATGGAGTCACTCTGATCTCACAGGCTTCAGTCTATGGTCAATTGAGTCTGCTACTTCAAGCTTGAGGCAAAGCAGAAACATCATGGTGGAAGGGCACAGAAAAATACATAAATAAAGGCTTTTCATGTCATGGCAACCAGAGAGAGGCAGGGTAGGAGCTGAGAACTCATTCCCACAGATATGCAAGGTCAGCCACCATAGCTTGTTTAAATCTGAACGCGCCCATGGCTTCCCCCACTGATGCAGTTAATGTCCATGTAACCCTGTCACCTATCTGTCATCACTGCCAGCTGGGAACCATGCCTGCAACACACGAGGCTTTGGTGCCCCTGTCCAAACTGTAAAATCTACATTTTTTCTTGGATGTATTCAATTAAACGTTTTTTTTTTCATTTTCACTTTGATAAGCTCTCTTATGTATTACCAAACTAAACAAATACTACTCTAGATTTATGTCTCATTGTTTTTAGAATTTAAAACAGGCATCCGACAGATGTCAGCAGGCAACACAATGCCAAGAGTTTTCAAGCATTGACTGCACAAAAAGAACATAAATCCCAGCCACTATCCAGAAGGAAACACCCAGGAGTTCAGAGAGAATCTCACATCAGCTTTGCACTTCGGCTCCTTTGATTTCTCATTTCGTGCATGTGGTGTCTTAGGCAGCTTTCCTTTTGAAACCTGTTTAAACCCTGAGTAACTACAAATATTCTTTGCACACAAATTCAGTTTTTGTAAAGTCTACTAAGATTATCACCAGGTATAGTCAAATCCTTGTCAAGAACCAAAAGACAGTTTGCAAAAGCACTAGAGGGGTGGTCTCCACAAGCGTAGTTCCTCCCAGTTATTTGCATTATGTAGGTTGAACTCAAAGAAGATGCTATTACTCAAATGCCATATACATTTTAGTTTCAATTCTATGTTGATATTTATCTTTTAGATAGTTCAATCCATCATTTTTCCCCTTTCACTCTATTACAATGGAAACAAACACTGTGAATACAATCCAACTTTCCCATCTTTGATATGTTATATTTAGATATTTTTAACTCCATCATTGGACACCCTTGCATCTCCTACATTGACTGTCCTATCAGGAAAATTTGGGGAGTTTACTGTGACACACGGTAGCTCTTGCTATAAGTATAATAGTAGAGAAAACTATTTGTGCCTGGAAATGGGTATCTGAGTCAATCAGGAGTGGGTGGCTCAAAATTTCTAAGAAGCACCCCTTTCTGGTGTAATATGGATATATATGTATATATAATATGGGGATATATATTATCCATATATAATATGGATAATATGTATATATATGTATATATATATATGAATACACATATATATTCATATATATATGAATCATGCAGGTGTTGAAAGAAAAGGCCGAGTTTGTTTCAGGTGAACAAAGATGTTAGGACAGCAGGAATGAAGGGTGGATGCTAAGGTTAGGAAAAAACAAGAATCCCTGTCCTTGCAGAACCATGAGTAGCTTTGAGATCTGAAAGGCATCTTTTTTAAGGATGGGAATCAGCTTTAAATCCATATGAACATATGATGTTTTAAACATCAGAAGCATAAAAGGCAAACAAGTGTACGCTCCTTGAGTCAAATAGGGAAAGAATAACTTGATTGTAAGGATGCTTTTATAGAGGGAATGGTTAAGAAACATGGAGAGTGGGCTAGACAGACATGACTATATGAGCAAGCTGAGAGTTCCCTACAGGTTTGGCTGGAGTGGCCTGTGCACTGTGACTACAAAGGCTGAGAAGGAATGCTAAAGTGTCATTTGTAAAGATCAACTTGGACCATTAATCTCGTTGCTAAATTAAAACAAAAGCAGTCCTGTTAGCTTCTCATTGTCCATCCTGGGAGCTTCTCATTGCCCATTGGTTTTTGTTTTGTGGCTGCACCTGAGTGACCTAGACTCAGCACCATCTCGTGTCTGCACACCTTCTTCCCAGGACACACAGGTCCAGTTGGCCCTACCCAGTCAGTACTACATTCTTTTCCCCAAATTGACCACATTTTCTAGGTCTGCAGCACTATGAAAGGATAAAATTAAAATACTACAAGCTGTCTAGACTCTTATTTACTTACCTGCTCTCTCCTAGGAGAACGTGGCTCTCCTTAAAGCTCTCAGCGGGCATTACTTTCTGAGCAGCTCTCTCACTGTATCACTGATACTTTTGGTTAGACTATATTGGCCAAGACTCTCAACTGTTATATCAATCTTTTCCATTTCTTCCTTACAGCTTAATTTACTCATTCGTTCTTCCGTACCCACTTGTCTGATGGCTTGTTTTATAATTTATTCTTCTTGTAATTATTTTTCCCATAAAAAGAAGAGAGGCTCTCTGAATAGATTTTCATCAATGCTGACAGGAGCAAATTTTAAGACCTGGTCTCAACTGCCAGAAGTCCAGATCTTAAGATATGCTCTGATGCCATGCAAGTACCTGTTTTGCTCAGTTAGATGCTCTTCAGAGAAAAGACCGTGCACCTGATAGGAATTTGATGGTGTGAAAGACAAAGAAGGGTTCAGTGAGGAAGTCTCAGTTGGATCACAAGCTATGATTATGAGCTTTCAAGAGAAAGGGGCAGAGGCGTAGAGGCGGGTAGGCCAGGCTACATGTTGTCTGGGCCAGGCTCCATAATAGTGTTATGTATAGGAATGATAAGTTGTGTAGGCCATGCTACATAAATGAGTGTTATGTGTGGGCATGTTAAGTTGTGTGGGCCATGCTACATGAACTGAGAACTATGTGCAGTGATGTAAGTTGTGTTTTGTTGGCTAAAGAAAACTAGGAGAGGGCATGGCATGCTGGGGAGAGGTAGTGTACAAGGTGAGGGCTAGGCAAGTTCTGCAGGGCTGCAGAAACTTTCTGTACCAAGACAGGAAGGCAAGACTGACTCCA